TTGCTTTACTAGCATAGAAGTTACACATTAACTTAAATAAAACCCACAAATTATCCCTTAATGAATGTATGAGTACAGATGACTGTCACTTTCTGGTCACATTCTCACCCAAGAATAAGGAAAACAAAAGAGTATTTTCAAAACTACTTAGGCAGCCTAAGTCCCCACTCCAATTAATATACTGAAGAGTTGAGCTATTCTCCTGCATTTGCTTGTTTGAAAATTAAGCTAATTAAACTTCTCATTAAATACATATATATATATACACATATATGCATATATATATATGCATATATATATATATATATATTAGCTTGTAGAGCATCTGTGGCAGTACTTCTGATTTACACAAGGGAAACAAAGAATATGTGATTTTAGGTATAGTCCGACAACTTCTGAGCTGACAGTGCGCTGAAGCACGAATGTGTTGGTGATGGCAGACCACTTCACCTTCCTGCAGCCCCGCCTCAGCACTGCAGCATGGGGTTAGCTCATGAGTTTGGGGGCTGTTGTGTAGACATGATCCAACCGTGCTTTTAAAAAAAAAAAAAAAATCCACAGCCACAGGTGCTCATATCAATTTGTAATTGTAAGCAAGAGACAGTGAACAACCAGTTCATTAGTTCTGTTAACTGAAAGATTTAGAATCATTCTTTATGTAATTAAAATACTTTTAAGCACATATAAAATGGGGCAGGTTGTACTAAAAGGGATCTTTCATTGTTTCAAATAACAACATTTGTAAGAACGAAACTGCAAGCTGCATGGCTTTGAGAGTGACTGAGGTAAGAAACATCTAGCTTAATGGCCACGTTTTTGCCCACTGATTGTATTCAGTCTGAATAGGGGAAATAAGGGGGATAAAACTGGAGGCCTTATAAACTCTGGAACCAGAAGCAGAAACACTGTGCATTTCACTGGACAGTAAGTTGACATCTTTTATTCTTAAAGATATTGAATGCAAAGAGTTGAGGAAGGTTATACCTCTTATCCAGCCAAGTTCTTAAACAAATACTTGGCCGTGAGCACTTTAGGAACTCCACTGAAGTCACTAGAGTCATCCTGAATTTAGGTGCATACCTAAATCCTTCACTGAACTGAGGTCCAGGTTACTAACACGAAAGTGCTTTTCTTCTTCCATTTCATTGGTCACTTCCCCCCCACCCCAAATTACTGTTCTCCATTTTCTGACTCTCTAATCTTTTTTGTTGTTGTTTCTATCTACTGTACTTTTAAATTACAGGTAAATTCACAATCACTCCTTTTTAGAATATCATCAAGGTCTTTCTAACTACTGATGCAATCATCCATCTTCGCAAGCCCTGACAAAATTTTGCTCTTGATAAGGGTTGCTTTAGGCAGATCAATTGTATAGCATTAAGTGCATTTTCCCCTTTTGGCTATCCTAGCAACTTAACAGTAAATGGCTGTGCCCTGAGTCGCTAACCCAAATATTTAAAAACACAAGTGGTTAAAGTTTAATCCGCTGTTATGAATGATGATGATGTGGCAACAGAAGCTGCGTTTCAAGAATCATTTTTCGACTGGGGAACAAGGTGGCAGTAACGTGGCTGTAGTACGGTCTTGTACTGAATACAGGATGTGCAAAGCAGACTGTTAATGGTTTGAAGAAGGATTTTTCCACCATGAATGGGTACCCAAACTGTTCTGTTAACCATACTAAAATCTGGAGTTCACAGTTAGTACTTGCACTGGGCATCCCTCAACTGACCATCAACATAATATCTGTGATCTTCAACTGCACCGTTATCTTCACCATAATGGCTACCAAGGATCTGCACAAGCCTATCCTTGTTCTCTTCTGCAATTTGGCTTTTTCTGATCTCTTCACCAGCTCTTCTGGCTTCTGGATTTCAGTGCTGTTCATCACCAACCCTGACATTACAATCTCTGGATCCAAGGATATGCTTGCACCTTATGCCTTTTATACTATATCTATTTTATCTACCATCTATAACTTGGTAAGCATTGGAATTGAACGCTATTTGGCTGTAGCTGAAAGCATCAGGACAAGATTCAGGGTTTCTAGAAAGCATTCTCTAGCTGCCGTTTTAATTAATTGGGTCCTTGCTTTCTTTTTCGGCTGCTTGCCATTGATGGGGTGGAACTGCTTGCACAGGGAAAACAATCTCTCTGTTCTCTACAGTCCATTTTGCGTCGACTACCTCATCTTCATCACCATTCCCAATTGTGTGGTGGCCTTTATTGTACCTCTGTTCACTTACCTCAGCATCATTATCATCCTGAGGAAAAGAAAGTTCAAAATGAAAGCATGTGGACAAGCTACTGGCACCTACAGATCAGCTGAGATCCAGGTGGCCAGAAGTAGCATTTTTATTTGGCTCCTGGCGTTGGTCTCCTATGCTCCTTTTTTTGCCGGAGTCCTCTTTGATGCAACTAACCATCAGTGCCCCCTTGATCTCTACCCAAGTGCCTACATCTTTCGAAATTGCACAGCTATGTTGGTAACCATGAACTGTTTGGGAAATCCCATAATATATACACTGAAGACCAAAGAACTGGGGGCTAAACTCAAGGCTCTGAAGTGCTCTTCTGGCAACCGCATCCATGCCTGCACCATTAAGAGTATCTAGCAGCAACAGCCCTTGCATAAGGGCTGCCCATTGGCATAACCTACGCAATATCTTCATGGAGATACCTGAAATAATGCCCCCGTCCCTTGCCCCCCGGCTGCAGGGCTTGTTCCTGGGGGGGCACGGGGTGGTTTGGCACCTGGTAGGGCACAGCTCCGCACTCAGCGGGGACACGTGCTGGGGCTGGGAACAGTGGGTAAGGCAGCCTGGCAAGCGAGCTAAGCAAAAGGCTCTTTCCTTCATCAACACCTTTTCTGGTCTTTGAATGTTGGCTGAATTCGGTTAAATGTTACCCCTGAGCACAGCAGCTTTTCTTCATTAACTCACCTGGTGCACAGGCCTGATTTATCTATCCTTTAAACGGAAGCAGGAGATTTATTTTGCCTTGAGATAAAAATAAATTCATTAGCACAATTTACTTTGTATTTGGAAATATGCCTCTGTTGTGCTTGCTTTGCTGCTAAGATTTAAATCTTTTTTATGTTTTTGCATTTTTTTAATGTTCTTGAAGATGCTTTTTGTTAAATTGCAAGAAAATTTTCAGTAGTGTGGGTGGAATTATGTTTTAATTTTTTATTTATAAGCAGTCAAATTGTAGGTCTTTGAATGCTTGATCGATTTCTATATTAATGAGGCTCTCAGTGCTGTTTTACTGTTAAAATTTTAACTGCAGTATGTAGTTGGACTATGTGTTTTCGTGAAATATCTGTGACTACCCTTTTCATTATTTCCACTTATGAACAGAAGGACACTTGAGTTTGTGGCTTTTGAAATTTGAATTGTAAGTTTAGAAGAAAGCCTCATTTGAGCTTTTGCAGTATCAAAACTGCAGTGGAGTTTCCTATACAAAGCAAAACAAAATAAAAGTTTGAAGACTGGCTATTTTGTAAAAGCAAAAGGTCTCCCTCTCTCCCTCTCAAAAAAAAAAAAAAAACAAGAAATTGGTTACTGAATAGTTAATTTGTCACATCCTAGTAGGAATGGATGCTTATTTTTAATAATGGAGGATACTGTCTAGAGGAATCCCAATGTTTAAATTTCTTATCCCTGCACTTGCAGTTACAAATCTGTGAGTTTTGATTGCATAGACCCTGGTGATGGTAGCTGGTCTTTCTGGCGGTAAGGGATGCTCAAACATTATTCAATAATATTGCATTAATGGGATAATATGTACTGTAAAATCCGAGCAACATCAGTCCTTGAAATACAGGTTGGAGTTTTCAGTGATTTTTTCCAGTGTATTTGTTTTGTTGTCACTGTTTTAGCATTTCAAAAGGCTTCAGTGAAGTAAAAACAAAATCCCATTAATCTACTCTTGAGAGGATATGAGAAAAGAAAGTTTGATATGAGAAGTGGGTTCACCTGCTAATGTAACAAATGAGTAAGCTCCATTACATTTACAAATCAGATGCTTGGTGCTTTATGTTTATTGCCACAAAAAACCTCTTTTGTGCTATTTTACCTTGAATGATTCTGGAAGAATTTTTTTTGGACTGAATTAAAATTCAGACACTTCATTTATGGAAATAGATAGTGCTATGTGATACATAATTAAAATTAATTATTTAAATGGATAATGTAACTCACACAAGACAAATCTGCCCCATTTCTTCTGAGCACCACTATCCCTGTAATTGTTTTCTGTTAACTTGACCAGCACCAATCTCGAGACATGATCAGCTAGAAACTAAACATCTGTCTCTAATTATATTTCAACCTAAACTTAAAAGCAGGAGATTAAAACAGAATTTACCAAAGGGCAGATGATAAAGATCATCCAGGGGGAGGGTTATGATGTATATTTATATTCATACCCATATTGACATTGGCAAGGTGATACGTAACAACCAGGCCATCTAACATATCACTGTCTATTATGGTGATTGTAATGTTAAAAACAAGATAACAGCTGGATTCCATCCAGAAATCCTTTAAGAGGAAATAATCCTTAACTGATCAGCTCTCAGATAAATCTTGGGCCTTTTCTACTACCAGTTGTGAAGGCTAGTCTTGTCCTTACTAACAAGACAGGAATAGCTGTGCTGGTCGAGCTGGGGAAGGGGTGCTGGATGGGGGCGCACGGACCTGGAGCGTGGGTGAGTCGCATTAACATATACTATGTTATTGCCCTCTCAGCGTCCTGCTTATTTAGCTTATAAGTGTTTCAGAGTGCTGACAGTTTCTTACTTTGTGTGTCAGCAACTTTGCACGGTGAGGTTTCTTTTCAGATGCGGGTGCTGAATGGGTGACTGGCGCAACAGCGGCTGAAGCACGTCTGGCAGACGGTAATCCATATTTATGCTATTAAAAATTAAATAAGTATGTAACGTACAGCCACTAAACAAGGGCAGCTGGCAATGCATTAGTTGTGTAAAAGACTTTTCGATGATTCACGTCTACTCCTCTTCTCCTTCGGCGTTTCCCCTGCCCCTGGTGACGGGGAGGCCCGCGGCGAGCGAGCGCCCAACATGGCGCCCTGAGGCGAGGCCGCCCAACGGCTGCTCGACGCTGCCTCCTCGGCGGTGGACTAGCGCGCCTGGGTGGAGGCACTGGGCGCGCGGCTGGCCGCGCCTGGCGTGGGCGGC